ACATGTTTTGTGGAAAATGTAGGGAAAATGAAAAACAGCTATAACTTTTGCATACGATGTCAGAAAAAACATATAATACATCAAAATGTTCAGCACAAAAATCCGCATCCAAATTTGACTGCTCTACGGCCTGTTTGCAAATTTTTAGAATCCACAAATTTTAAAAGGAAAAAAAGTTATGCTCAAATTTAAAAAAAATGAATTTTGGTTAAATCAGGTCAGACTTTGGTCAAACTACTTATTCAAGAAGTATTAGTGTTACTAAATAATTTTTTAATAATATTAGTGTTACTAAATAATTATTATAGTTTTTTGGAATTTTGGTCAAATCTGGTCAAATTGTTGTGAAATTGTGGTCAAAGTGTGGTCAAACTACTTATTCAAGAAATATTAGTGTTACTACATAATTATTCAAGAATATTAGTGTTACTAAATAATTATTTTAATTTTTTGAATTTTGGTCAAATCTGGCCAAACTGTGGTCAAACTATGATCAACCTACTTATTGAAGAAATATTAGTGTTAATAAATAATTATTGTTTTTTAGAATAATAGTTTCAAACTCAAACAGTGAAATGTGTGACTTCATGCTCAAGCTAAACTCCTGGGGGTTAATAGGACTGACATCTTACTATTGTCAGGAAAACAACAAGTGCAGACTTGGAAACGAGGGGGAATAGAACCCGAAAGTTAAGCGTGCTCAGGCTGGAGTAGTGAGAGGATGGGTGACCGGCCAGGAAGGTAGATGATTTGGAATGATAATGGGTGATTAGATATTAGAGGTTAAATTGAGCAGTGATGAGGGGTGATTAGAGATTACGTTGGAAAATAATTCAGAAAATTAAAAATTGAAAAAAAAAACAATTTAAAAAAATTCAAATTTTCTTTTGTAACCAACCGGGACTAAAGGTGAAGCTCTAGACAGCGGCCACGTGAACGGCCTTTAGTCCCGGTTCGTGTAAGAACCGGAACTAAAGGGGGGAGGTTTTAGTAACGGCCCTTTAGTCCCGGTTCCAGAACCAGGACTAAAGGCTCTTATGAACCCGGACAAATGGCCATTTTTCTACTAGTGTTGCTCAATGTTTCTTTTAATACTAGGGTCCTTTTCACAAAAAAAAACTATGTAGGTGTTTGCCATGCAAAATTGCCTAACTATGTTTTGATAATGGGCACCATCGTCCGTATACACAGATCCTTTCCATTATAGTTGCCCGTTTCCGAGTTTTGTGTAAGTCTTCCCCAGCTATTCCCTCTGAACAGATGTATATATGATGTTTGCTGCCTCAGAGGCACCCCCGAGTTACACCTCTTGTACAACGTTAGTCGAGTTTGTTCAGTTGCTCTCTCCAGGACTATATAAGATCATGTTTCATCTAGTTGAGTAAGTAGCACGACTTAGTCTAGAGTTTAGCAAATGAAACACTGGTAAGTCTAAAGATGGTAATGCACGAGGCCAAGCACTAGTAGGACTGGGAGGCATTGGGAAATGTAATAGCGATCTAAGAAATGTGGTTTCTGATCCTCAGATAGTCATGTGTGGCGAACTGGCGATGCCACTCTCTCACATTGGGGGGACACCATCTAGTTTCTTATTTTCGCATGGAGGGGACGCCATCTACATTCCTATTTCCAGCAGCGGAGCTAGGCCTTTCCAAAGTTCTGGCTAAACCTCCCGTCACCCAAGGCTGGTTCAAGGCTGGAGCATGCTTTCCGCCTAGGAGGATAGTGGAAGGAGCGTACGTGGCGGATGGGGCAATCCGCCATGCCACCCGGACGGATCAACCTGCCATCCTACATGGCGGAAGTCTGGGCAAATTTTCGTAGTGTGACGAGATGGGCAGGCTCTCTTGAGCACTTTAGTTTAAAGGGAGCAGGATTCCCACAGAACAACAACGGATAACAAGTTTGAATCCAATTTTGAGGGATTTAGGCGCAGTGTCAGGAGCTATGTAAGAAAAGATCTACAGTAGGCCTGTTTCTTTTTATAGTGGGCGGTATTGGGCGCCGGTGCGCCCGCCCAAACGTTGGGCCGGTCACACGCTAGCCACCCGATCTATTCATGTTTAACCGTTGGATTTGGCCCCTTCCGTGTCGTCTCCTACCTCGCGAGAATTTTTTTGGGGGAATCAGCACGCTCCCCTCGTTTGCACACCTCCACTCCCCCTCCTCACTGTCATTGTGGCCGTGCCTGACGAGCTCCGGTGAGGTCCTGCCTCCACGGCCGCCGGGATTGCATCACGGCCGCCATTGATTTCAGCGTGATTCACCATGGATGCAACTCTAAAAACAAATCAAATCGATCAGTTCCAGCATACGGGCGCCATGCTTGCAGCATCCCAGCGCAACCCCGCCTCCGGCTTGCCGCAGTCTTCGGTTTGCATTGTCGTGTCCAGCCAAAAAAGAGATCTAAAAAAGGCAACACATTATCAGTAGTTCGGTTGAAGCAAAATTGTTATAAGGTTCCAGCAAAAAATGACATCGGTTCTAGCAAAAATCAACCTCGGCAGGGAGAACTCCAGTGATTGATTGTAGCAAAAAAAGTTGCTAGTTCCAACAAAAATATACACTATTTCCAGCAAAATAACTCAGGAAGGAGACTCTCATTTGTTCCCTTGTAGCAAACAAAAGAATGATTGTAGCAAAAAGAACAGCTAGTTACAGCAAAAATATACAATGGTCCCAGCAAAAAAGGTCACCTCGCAGCCCACCCGTCCGTCTCCATGGCGCGAAGACTTTCGCCGGTTGAGGCAGCGGAGGGCACCGGTTCAAGCTCTGGGATGTCCGGTTGCCGCAAAACGGGGCGCCCGTTTCAGCTGCCACCATCTGGCTCCAGCATCGGCGGCCCCCGCGGGTTGCAGCAAAACAGGGCGCCCGTTCCAGCTCGCCACCATCTGTCTCCAGCACCGGCGGCCCCCGCGGGTTGCAGCAAAACGGGGCGCCCGTTTCAGCTCGCCACCATCTGGCTCCAGCATCAGCGGCCCCGCGGGTTGCAGCTCCGCTTGCTCGATGCAGCTCCCCCACCAGTGGTTGAAGCTCCAGTAGCAGCTGGTTGTAGCTTGCCCATCAGTGCGGCGCCGTCAGATGCGAGAAGGAGTAGCAGTGCAGCAGCTTGAAAGGAGGAGGTCATGGAGCTGAGTGATGCGGCGAGGTGGAAGAGAGAGGACATAGCATGGGCACACCAGAGTTGTGCGGCCAGGAATGAGCGGTGAAGAGATAAAGGCGGGAAAAGAAAAAAGGAAAGAAACTTTTGGTCTAACGAGAGGGCACGTGGGCCGCATGTTCGCTTTCGGTCGAACGAAGCATACGCGACCGGCCGAGCGTTCCGCCGGCGCGCCGCAGGGAAACGTTTCCCTTTTTGACATGCATGCAATATTTTTTCCGCTTAATTAGCTCCTAATAAGTGTGCAACTTCTGCTGTTTTAGAAACTAGCACAGGGGCAGCACAATTGCACCGGCAATATCTTTAGTGGTTAAGGACCTCCGATACAAAGCAAACGAATGGACATTCAAACTTGATCGACGGTGTATAGTTTATGTACGAGGGAATAGACTGATACTATGTAAAAGAATAAAGAGGGAGATTGGTGGAATTGTTGATTGTATTGCTTGAGGCTCATGGGCGTATATATAGGAGTACATGATCATCTTGAAGGACACGACAAGCTAGACAAATTGTAGTCTATCCTATGTTTCCTAAATAACCATGATACTCAACATTCCCTCGCAGTCACAACGGTAGCGAGCAGATGGTGAGACTGGAGAAGAATTCAAAGGTAAGCCGACGGACATCCCCCGCAGTCATAACGGTCGATGCATCGTGGAAGTTGTAGCTGGAGTGAAAACCGAGGAGGTTGCTCAAGCAAGGCGGCATCCCTTTGTGCCGATGTCGATGTAGCCGATAGCGTAGGGTGGTGTAGCCGTGGTCGAGGTAGCTGCGCGAGACACCGTGGTCGATGTCGAGTTGAGGTCACCAGTGTCGATGTAGTCGTCATCGAGCCGCGGTGTCAAGGAGGCGCAGAATTAGTCATGGGCTGAGTGGTGTTAAGGTAGTGGTGCACTGGAAAGAAGACGATGTTGACGAGACATCGTGTCGGGTTTGCCAAGCCTGAGTATACGTCGTGGAGGAAGGCATGCATCGGTGTTGCCAGCACAAGTCATGCGTAAACGGATAAAGTCGATCAACAAATCAGGAAAAAGACTTAGGGCAGCATCACATTTTTTCCAGAAAGGAGGTTAAACCCCCGGCCTTTGCATCATTAAAATGCACACAACCATTCTTATTAATTATTAAACATAATACATAGCAAAGGTAACCACAGCTGAGCCATTAAAGAAGTGATGAAATGAACACCTACGACTAACTTGACTTCTTTCATGATAATGCCATCAAAAAGGGATAAACGTCCACACGTCTTCATCGTCATGTTCGGCTGGAAAATTGAAACCAGCCAATCAAGACCAGCACAATAGCAAGTAGACAACGACTTCAACAATGCAACAATGCAATTTTGTCACTGATGAGCCCGACCAATAAAGGACAGTGCAAGAGTTTTCACCCAGACATGAAGTGGTGTCGCAATCAGCATCTTCGGGATGATTAAAGAGTTGCATTCATCAGTGCTCCACGCCTCGCCAAAAAAGCACTAGCAGATTTCTGAGATAATTTACTAACTTAATACCACCGCCACGGCTGTCACGGGACATGAAGTGGTGTTCAGTGCACAAAACTTATAAGCATCTCATTCAGGAATGACCGTGAAGAGTTCTACTACAGTGGCACTCTGACAGCTCCCCTTGGTTCACCCAACTCGCACCTCCTCATCAGCACTCAATCATCCTTGTTTGACTGGCCAGTTCGGAGTGACACTTGGTCTGAAATCCAGCTTAATGATACACGCATAGAACAGATTGTGGAATACAATTACCATTATAGGATCTACACTTTGCAGCTAGCCCCTCAGCTTGGTCTACAGGAGATAAAAACTTTGTGGTGGGATGGCATGGATGAATGCCCATATTTAATACCATGGCTAGTTGTGTGTGGCGACATGCTTCTCATTGTTGATCATTGCATCAACTTATCATTGGGAGCACCAGTGACCTATAAACCCTACCGCCTCGATATCTGTACCAAGCCGGCAAAATGGGTGGAGGTAAAGAAGCTGGAAAATTGGGCACTCTTTGTTGAGGGTGATGTGAGGAGCACACCATTTTCTTGCATGAGCCCAGAACTATGGGGAGGTAGGATGAATTGCTTATACTATGCCCATTACTCTGAACCTTGCAACATACATGGGCTTGGTGATGAGGCAGATGCTGTGTGGGATCCGTCGACCAATCCTGACCTTTTGTACAAAAGAAACTGGTACCGCCAGCTGCAGGCCCTCTGGGTGTATCCAAGTGTGTTCTATTCTGATAGCGAATGACCGCTGAGTGTTACCGCGGTTTTCTGCTTTGCCTTCACCTTCCAACAGAGAGCATAGTCTTTTCCACCTTCAGCAGAGGATGCTACATGGAAGCATTATTACTTGAGCTTTCGTAGTTTGTTTCATCGTTCAGATTTTGGAACTACGTAGGAGGTTTTTATGGGGATTTAGGTCTTACTCCCACTTCTGCAGTTAGTTTCAGCATTCATATTTGTACTGTGCCGTTTAGTCTTTCACTGGATGTATGTGTACTTATCAACAATATTTTTGTGCTAGAACTGACAAGTTTCATGTGCCTTCCCTGTTTCAACACTTTATTAATGAAGATTTGGATGTCTTAACCTTTTAATCTAAAAAGTACTTACATCGCATTTGAACATTGTAGGTGATTTGGTATGGGTGGTAAGTAAGTCACTGGTTTGGAGGCATTTTTGTTTGTACATCTGAATATTTGGACAATGTTACAGCCCACTGCCCCGTAGCACCACCGTCAAATAGGTGTAGAACTTTCATCAGTTCTATCAAATCTTGCACAAACATTACGTCGACCGTTAGTAATAATTAACTGGAGTAAGCAGATAGCTTGCTACAGTCTTATCAAGTCAGGATGCTTGCTTAGCAAGTTGGCAAAGATAGCTTCAGGTTAAGGACTGAGACTATCTGAACTCGCATGCCGATCTCTGCTCACTACACCAAATGTGAATCAAGTGGGTGCCCTGTCATGCAAGCACGTACCAGGCTGTTAGACAAACTAGGGTTTGGAACAATGCTCGATGACCTTGGTGGGCACGGCTGTCATTTATTTATAAGAGGTAACCGTACAAAAACCGGTTATGTTACAACACGTATATCTACTATATACTTAGTCTAACACCCTCCCTCAATCTTAACTATGTCCTGAAACACTCAGAATGTTAAGATTGCGTCGACATCCTTCAAAAGAAGGCAAGGGCAAGGGTTTAGTGAAAATATCAGCAAGCTGATCCTTAGAAGGAACAAACTTGATCTGAAGAAGCTTCTGAGCAACACGTTCCCTCACAAAGTGATAGTCAACTTCAATGTGCTTCGTTCAGGCATGAAACATTGGATTGGATGAAAGATATGTAGCACCGATGTTATCACACCAAAGGACAGGCGGCTGAGTGGGAGAGACCTTCAACTCCCGAAGCAACGACTGCACCCACATGATCTCAGTTGTGGCATTAGCAACCGCCTTGTACTCAGCTTCGGTACTACTCCGAGACACCGTAGCTTGCTTGCGACCTTGCCAAGCGATCAAGTTAGGTCCAAAGAACACAACATGTCCCCCCCGTGGATCGCCTGTCATCAGGACTACCAGCCTAGTCGGCATCAAAAAATGCAGAGATCAGTCCAGAAGGCGCCGACTGAAGATGAAGACCATAAGAACCAGTGTGACGAACATAACGCAAGATGCGCTTAACAGCTGACCAGTGAGAATCACGCGGCGCATGAAGATACTGGCACACTCGGTTTACCGCAAACGATATGTCTGGTTGAGTGATAAGCAAGTACTGCAACCCACCAACAATGATTCGGTACTCAGTGGCATCCTCAGGAGATAGCAAGTCACCAGCAAGAGCGGTCAGTTTGTCTGTGACAAACATGGGAGTAGTAGCAGGCTTGCACTGCAACATACCTGCACGACGTAGGAGGTCCTGGGAGTACTTCTTCTGAGTAAGGGTCAAACCACCATCAGAAGGAAGAACTTCCAGACCCAGAAAATAATGCAGTCTGCCAAGATCCTTAACATCAAAGCCAGCACCAAGAGAGGACACAAGCCGATCCTTAGTAGTAGCGACGAACTAACAAGGATGATGTCATCAATATAGACCAGAATCTACATAGTCACCTCCGGTCGCTGAAAGATAAACAAAGACGTGTCCACTGCAGAAGGCACAAACCCATGAGCACAAAGAGCAGTGCCAAGACGTGCATGTCACGCACGAGGGTCCTGTTTCAGTCCATATAGGGCTTTGTCAAGACGACACAAATGATGTGGCTGAGCAGGATCAACAAAACCGGGTGGCTAACGCATATAAACCTCTTCCTCTAGAACTCCATGGAGGAAAGCATTCTGAACATCAAGCTGTCAAAGTGACCATCCTCGAGTAACGGCCAAGGAGAGAAGAACACAAATAGTGGTTGGTTTAATAACAGGACTGAATGTGTCTGCATAATCAATGCCATACCGTTGTTTGAAACCCTTGGCAACAAGACGTGCCTTGTATCTCTCAATGGAACCATCAGCATGTTTCTTCACCTTGAAGACCCATTTAGAGTCAATGACATTGACACCAGATGGAGGTGGAACCAAGCACCAAGTGTTGTTTCGTTGAAGTGCATGAATCTCCTCCTCCATTGCAGCACGCCAGTGTGGAATACCAAGTGCTGCCTGAAAATGTCATGGTTCAGTCGTAGGGTCAGCCTCAGTATGCGCCATACAGGCCGCAAGCCACGCAACAGTGCGATCAGTGTGCTTCTTCGGTTGGAAGATGCCACTCTTGCTACGAGTATGAGGACACAGGACGACATGCGGAGGTGGCGGTGGAGCAGGCACCATAGAGGAACCACTGTCCATCAGCGGTGAAGAAGACGCGCCTGGGGTGGTCGACGAAGACAAGCCGGGCGCGATCGGCGACAATGAGCCAGAAGATGACGACCCAGGCGACGCAACAGTTGGCGAGGCTGTCTGCCCAGGCGATAGCGCTGCGGATGCTGCTGGCCCATGGGGCAACGCCACGGGATCGGCCAGCCCAGGCGGCACCTCGGAGTCGGCCAGCCTAGGCGCCAATGCTGCGGGGTCAGCCGACCCAGGCAGCAGTGAGGCCACGTCCCCAGGTGACCCAGGCGACAGCGCCGATGAATCGGCCGGCCCAGGTGGCAACGAGGCCACGGACGCAGGCGACGTGGGTGCCTTGTCAAGTCCACTTGCATGCCCCATGCACTCATGGTCGACGTCGTGAACAGCCTGCGTGGCAGTAGGCGCAGCCGACGTAGTGGCGGCTGGCTCAGGTGAGGCCTCATGATCATCCTCAAGAAGCTCAAGTCGCGCCTCGTCCAGTCCCTGCATCATGGTTAGGCAACAACAGAGGAGAATATGCAGCATCCACAAATTGAGCAGGCAAAACTGGAAAAGAGTGCAACTCGGTGACGGGAGTATAGTGGATGATGTGATTGTGGAAAAAGGGAAGACAGTCTCATCGAACACAACGTCACGGGAAATGCGGTTCGTCGGAATGTGGAGACACTTGTAACCTTTGTGGAGAGGACTGTACCCAAGGAATACACACTTTTTTGATCGATACTCAAGTTTATGCTTGTTATATGGACGAAGATGTGGCCAACACGCACAACCGAACACTTTGAGGAAGGAGTATTCTGGAGTTTCATGAAGCAACACCTCGAGGGGAGACTTCATGTGAAGAAGTCGTGTGGGAGTCCTGTTTATCAAAAAATAAGCAGTGACAAAAGCATCGCTCCAAAACCGAAAAGGAACAGAAGCATGTGCAAGAAGTGTTAGACCAGTTTCAACGATGTGACGGTGCTTGCGCTCAGCTGCACCGTTCTGCTGATGTGTATGACGACAAGACACATGGTGTGAGATGCCAAGTTTCTGGAAGAACGTGTTGAGATTACGTTATTCACCCCCCAGTCAAATTGAACATTGATAATTTTGTGCTTAAGTAAGCGCTCAACATGTGCTTGAAATTGCAGAAAAACATGAAACACATCAGATTTGCGCTTAATAAGATAAATCCAAGTAAAGCGACTGAAAGCATCTATGAAACTGACATAATAGTTGTGACCACTGGCAGAGGTTTGGGCATAGCCCCACACATCTGAAAACACAAGTTCGAGAGGAGCCTTGACAACACGACTCGATACAGAAAAAGGCAATTGATGACTTTTTCCTTGTTGACAGGCATCACACACTAAAAACTCATTATTACTCGATTTAACAGGAAGACTATGATGATGAAGCACATGGCGCACAATGGGAGTGGCAGGATGGCCAAGGCGAGAGTGCCACTGTGACGATGACACCCGAACACCACTGAAAACTTGAGGAACTCGTGCATGGGCTCGGGGAACATCAAATGCATATAATCCATCGCGAGCTCGACCACTAAGTAGAACGTCCCTCGTGTCCCGGTCATTAACAAAAAATGGAAAGGGTGAAACTCAACAAACACATTGTTGTCACGAGTTAATTTAGGAACCGAGAGTAAACTACGTGTGACTAAAGGAACACGAAGGACATCAAGAAGACGCAAGGTTTTAGTTGTACGCGAAAGAAGAGATGCCTGACCAACATGTGAGATGGGCATACCTAATCCATTGGCAGTGCGGACATGATCATGACCGGTGTAGGCCTGGCGAGTGACCAGCTTGTCAAGCTGGCTCATCAAGTGGTCCGTGGCACCTGTGTCCATGTAGCATGCAGGGTCCACCGAATACGAAGGAGTGAACCCAGGCTCCTGTGTAGCAAGGGCAGCCTGCTTCTCGTTACCTTTCCCATTGTTTCCAATGCCAAGGAAATCATGTTTAAAGCAACGATGACAGCGAGACGCCAAGTGCCCCTGAATGCCGCAAAGTTGACACTCACCTCCACCACCACAGGCCTTGCAGTGTAGCCGCTTGCGGCCAGTCGGAGGAGGAGGCGGGGCGGGTGGACGGGGATGGTTACCCGTGGACGGTGCTTTCTGCTTGGCACCACGGGCACCCCCGCGGAGAGCAGCATTGGCAGACGGGCCCTCTGTATAGACGCCAACGGAGCGGCGGGCAGCAAGCCACTATTCGGTGTTGAGGAGGCGCGCGTAGAGGTCGCGAGGCGGCATCGGCGTGTCACGTCCATTGATGTTTTCAACAAGAGAATCATAGTCCTCATCAAGACCATTGAGAATGAACAAAGTAAACTCCTCATCACGGAGAGGCTTCCCAATAGACGACAGTGTGTCAGCCAGACTTTTGACCTTGTT